GCGGCCGCGCCTGTTGCGCCAAACTAGCTGGCCGCTGCGCGCGCATGCTTGGTTGGCGCGGCCGCGGGGGTGCGTCAGCCAACGCCACGCGCTCGTCGCAATCGCCACCGCGTGGGTTTTGCAAGCCAAGTTGCGGGCGGTTGGGTGAGACGTTAGCAGGGGGGGCCGGCGCACGCACCCCCCCCCATCCCCTGCAACAGGTATCGTGCGCGCGCACTCGTTTATCAACAGTCATCAGTTTTCAAGAATCTGTTTGCCACTGGGAAAAAATGGGCGAACTGCGCGCGCGCATGCCGAAAGGTTTAAAAACCTTGGGTTTCGTGCGGATTTCAAACTCAAGTGTCTTAAAACATACAAAAAACACCTGGTGTCGCAACGCGGACTTACAACAGAAAAAAAAAACTTGCGCGCGCGCCCTTGCGGCTTCTTAAGGAAACTCTGCTTTTTTACATGTTCATAACATGCTATCGAATGAGCTTCGCGCGCGCGTCGACATGGCCCGAGCGCCCTCGCGCGCGCGCCGTCGCGAGAGCCCATGGAAACACATGGGACGAAGTGCACGCGCGCGCATCGTCGCGCGCGCCGAAATACGTCAAGCACCTTGGCTTCGCGCGGGATTCAAAATCCAGTGTCCCAAAACCATGCAACTACACATGGTTTCGCAGCGTCAGTTCTCAAACGAGCTTGAGCGCGCGCCCCTGCGAATCCTGAAGAACACAATAGGTTTTCCATCGTTGTCATTGATTTATGCCAAACGGACTTGCGGCGCCACACGCCGAAATTATTCGAGCGCCCCTGCGCGCGCGCTGGGGCGGGGGGGGGGGCGCGATCCGCGTCAAATAAAACACGCGGCCGCGTTGGCCGCGCCGCATGTCGAACTCCTTCCAAAACCTTCATCGCCGACGCGAGGGCGCCGTCGTCGTCGTCGGCGCGGTCAGCATCCGCGCCGTCACTGGCCGCGCCGTCGTCGCTGTCAGCATCGTCGCCAGCATCGCTATTATCATCGTCGCGTCTACCGATGTCGACGTCGTCATGATACCGCGCCCGCCCGATTCGCCGGCTCGCAGTCAAATGCCCGCTGGGAGGCGCCGATTGGTCAGCGCCGCCGCGTCCGCGCCAGTCGCGCCTAACTAGCTGGCCGCTGCGCGCGCGAGCACACGCGGGCCAACGCGGCCGCAGAGGTGCACCAGCCAACGCCAAGCACTCATCGCAATCGCCTCCGCATGGGCGTCGCAAACCAAGTTGCGGGTGGGCGGGCGGGATGATTGCGCGAGCAGTGGGCTCGACAATTTCATGTTCGGCAACGCGAATTGCACCGCGTAGATTGCATTACGTAGGTTGCCGCGCGTAAGTTCCCTTCTCGCCGGAGACATTTGATTCGACCTCCGCCCCCCCCCCGCAGGGGTTATCAATTCGGCCTCGCGCGTTGCAGTTTTCGTGTGATTTCGCCTCCTTGTTCATTTTCCTCATGTATTCATGCCGTTCCAAGCGAGCTGGCATCCGCCCCCCTTCTCATCCCTGTCAAACCATGCCGTGCGGTGCGCGTGCGTTGATTAAGGGTGAGCTGGTGGTGCGAATCCGAATAATACCGCGCGAGCCACAACATATCAAAATTCCGATGGATTTTCGATGCACAGTAGTTATACCCCGCGCGCTCTTGCGACTAGTAGCGAAAAACATTGGTCCCCTGGCACGTCGCCTGGCGCGTCCCTTGGAACGTTCAGCGGCGCGTTTTCCTATCATGTTCCCTTGTCAATTAGTATTAGCTCTGGGGCAGCTACTACGTGGACTATGTGCTCAGGCAGCTCGATCATAAGATCCAGATCAGTTCGGTCAGGACTCGGATGCAACGGAGAACTCGGTTCACACCACTATAAAGCACAAACGCGGCATGGCACATCGCAATTCAGCACAGCGCTGCACAGCACTGGCTTCGGCACGGTACATCAAGATCGATACACTCACTCAGCATTGCAACCTGGCACGTTCCTTGGCACGTTCCGTGGCGCGTCCCGTGGCGAGTCCCCCTGGCACGTCGCGCGGCGCGTCCCCTGGTACGTCCCGTGGCACGTCCATTGGCACGTTCCGTAGCGCGTCCCCTCGGCACGTCCCGCGGTGCGTCCCCGTGGCACGTCCCCTGGCACTTCGTTTGGCGCGTCCCTTGGGACGTTCCGCGGCGCGTCCTCCTGGCATGCTCCCCTGTCGATTAGTTCTGGGGCATTTACTATGTGCTAGGGCAGCTCGAGCTTAAGATCCAGATCAGTTCGGTCAGGACTCGGATGCAACGGAGGGCTCGATCCACATCACTAAAGAGCACAATTGCGGCATGGCACATCGGAGTTCAGCACAGCGCAGCACAGTATTGCCTTCGGCACGGTACATTAAGATCGATACATTCAGCATTGCAATTTGGCACGTTCTTTGACACGTTCCGTGGCGCGTCCTGTGTCGAGTCCCCTTGGCACGTCGCGCGGCGTGTGCCTTGGCACGTCCTGTGGCACATCCATTGGCACGTTCCGTAGCGCGTCCCTTCGGCACGTCCCGCGGTGCGTCCCCGTGGCACGTCCCCTGGCACCTCGCTTGGCGCGTCCCTTGGGACGTTCCGCGACGCGTCCTCCTGTCATGTTCCCCTGTCAATTTATATCTGGGGCAGCTACTATGTGCTTAGGCAGCTCGAGCTTAAGATCCAGATCAGTTCGGTCAGGACTCGGATGCAACGGAGGACTCGATCCACATCACTATAGAGCACAATTGCGGCATGGCACATCGCAGTTCAGCACGGCTCAGCACAGCACTGGCTTCGGCACGGTACATCAAAATCGATACATTCAGCATTGCAGCATGGCACGTTCCTTGGCACGTTCCGTGGCGCGTCCCTTGGCGAGTCCCCCTGGCACGTCGCGCGGCGCGTCCCCTGGCACGTCCCGTGGCACGTCCATTGGCATGTTCCGTAGCGCGTCCCCTCGGCACGTCCCGCGGTGCGTCCCCATGGCACGTCCCCTGGCATGTCGCCTGGCGCGTTCCTTGGGACGTTCCGCGGCGCGTCCTCCTGGCAGGTTCCCCTGTCAATCAGCTCTGGGGCAGCTACCAGTTATGTGCTCAGGCAGCTCGAGCTTAAGATCCAGATCAGTTCGGTCAGGACTCGGATGCAAAGGAGGACTCGATCCGCAACGCTATAGAGCACAATCGTGGCATGGCACCTCGCAATTCAGCACAGCGCTGCACAGCACAGCCCTCGGCACGGTACATCAAGATCGATACACACAGTATTGCATTTGCCCGTCGCCCAATCAGGTGTCTTTGAAACGTTGCCATGTCTTACATTTCTGTATTTCTTTCCGGGGTTCGTGGGTCGATCATGTTTCGTCATGTTGACTGAATTCTGCCAAACGGGCCTCCTGGCGCCGCATGCCGAAATCATCCGCAAACCCATGCGCGCCTGCTGGGGGGGCACGATCCGTGTAACGTAACCATGCGGGCCACTCTCGCACGTCGGCCGCGCGCGCACGTCTAACTCTGTTCAAAAATTTCATCGCCGGCGCGAGGACGCCGTCATGGCTGTCGGCGCGATCAGCATTTGCGCCGTCCCTGGTCGCGCCGTCGTCGCTGTCAACATCGCCACCATCACCGCTAGTATCATCATCGCGTCTACCGTTGTCGACGTTACCATGATAGTTACCGTGCCCGCCCAAGTCGCCGACTCGCAGTGAAGTACCCGTTGGGTTGTGCCCAGCGGTCAGCGCCACCGCGGCCGCGTCGGTCGCGCCAAAATAGTTGGCCGATGCGCGCGCGTACTTGGGTTGGCGCGGCCGCAAAGATGAACCAGCCAACGCCAAGCACTCATCGCAATCGCCGCCGCATGTGGTTTGCAAACCAAGTTGCGGGTGGGTCGGTGGGATGTTTGCAAGAGCATGGAATGTGTAAGGTCGCTTGTTATCATCAATTGCAACGCATAGGTTGTGGACCGCATATATTGCACTAGGTTGCGCCACGTAGATTGCACAATGTAGATTGCACCGCGTAGATTCATCCGCCTAAACTGCATCACGTAGGCTGCATCGCATATTTTGCTCCGCATAGATTGCGCCGCACAGACTGCAGTAGCCAACTGTTTGGGTCCCGCGCTGGCCAACATGCTTTAGGCTTGAGATGGTTTCGTGTATCGTCATGAGGGCTGCGTGCTCCGAGTCCGCTGGCCTTGTTGGCATGGCCATTGTTGATGTTATCATTGCTTCCCATGTGGTTGTTATGTTCCTTTGTTGCCAGTGCTGCTTGCATTCATCTGTTGGATCGGCGTTGGAATCATGTTGTTATTGGTGTTATTGGTGTTGTTGGTGTTGTTGCTTATGTCGTCGTGTTGTGTGTATGCAGTACTATTGGCCCTTTGGGCTTCGGAAAATGGTCGGACCCGGCGCGTTCGTTTCTTTTGCCAGGTCAAGGCTTCCTACAGTAACTTGCCTGCCGCAGGTCGGTTTGTGTGAGGTTCCTGGCTTACCTGGCGATGTTTGATTCGCACCGCGGAAAGAGGAGCTACGGTCGGAAACTTTTAGCGCCCCGCTGGTTCTGGCCCGCCGCGCCTCCTGTGCGACACGCTATCCACATCCCGGTCCCCCAGCGTCATCGTCCCGAGCATTTCCCAGCTTCCCGCCCCGCGGAACGGAGCGCCGGGGCCGCCGCAGCGACACGCGATCCAGAAGCTCGTGACCGTAACCTGTTCATCCCGCCCACAAGAATATCTTACCAGAGAAGAGCCCCAATCAGTGGATGCTCGCTGAAGATATCGACCAGGAACCCGGGAGCCCGGGAACCCAAAAACCACCGAAATCGGCCCGGAACCATGGTAAGCGGGAGCCCGGGAACCCGGAACCGGGAACCCGGGAACCCAGCCTGCCACCCAAATCGGCGGGATCTTTTCGCCAAATCCCTCAACTTCCGCTAGGACCCCTTCAGTGCAAGCACTGACTGGGGCATCTGTCTTTCGCGCTGCGCCGCCCACGCAGGAGGACCGCGACCGGGTGTCCCAGACGCTCGCCTACCTGCTTGTGAGCGGGCACATGCGAATGTCCCCCGAGGAGCCGGGTGCGCGTGCGCTCCGAGGGTGCCGGCAGGGCCCGGCCCGCGGATCCGCCCCGCCGCTCAGGCAGGGGGAGGTGGAGGAGCCTGACCTCCCTCCGCCTCCCCCACCTCCTTTTCCTCCTCCTCCTCCTCCTCCTCATCAGCATCAGCATCAGCATCAGCATCAGCATCAGCATCAGCATCAGCATCATCAGCATCAGCATCATCATCATCATCATCATCATCATCATCATCATCATCATCATCATCATCCTCATCCTCATCCTCATCCTCATCCTCATCCGCATCCTCATCCTCATTCTCATCAGCATCCTCATCCTCATCCGCATCCTCATCCTCATTCTCATCCTCATCCTCATCCTCCTTCCACCTCCACCTCCACGGCATCCTCCTCCTGCTCATCCTCCTCCTCCTGGTCCTCATCCTCGTCTTCGTCCTCATCCTCATCCTCCTCCTCATTCTTTTCCTCCTCCTCCTCCTCATCATCATCATCATCAGCATTATTATCATCATCATCATCAGCATCATCATCATCATCAGCATCAGCATCATCATCATCATCATCATCAGCATCATCATCTTCATCTTCATCCTCATCCTCATCCTCATCCTCATCCTCATCCTCCTTCCACCTCCACCTCCACGGCATCCTCCTCCTGCTCATCCTCCTCCTCCTGGTCCTCATCCTCGTCTTCGTCCTCATCCTCATCCTCCTCCTCATCCTCCTCTTCCTCGGTCATCAGTTTGGCTCCAGGGGCCTACTCCTGACCTCCCCAAACTCTTGCGAGGCGCATGGTGGCCAGGCACCAAGGGCGGGCCGCGGCCGCACCCTCTGGCTCTCGGCGGCCGCTCTGCCTCGGCGCCCGCGTTCCGTTTCCAGCCCCGGAGGCGGTGCGCCAGCAGGCCATGGCGTGGCCCAGGGCCCCCACCTCACGTGCGGGCAGCGAAGACGCTGCCAGTGGAGCGAGCGCCGCGAGCACCGCGCCGCGAGCACCGCACTTTCTGTGTGTATTTGTCTGTGTGTGTCCCTGGGCCCCTTTAGACTTTCCAGGGTCACCCCCGCATCCCTCCCCTTCGGCCCAGCCTTGGCCGCTGCTGCTGGCCGCGCCCCGCTCGCAGAGCGTCGACACGGCCTCCCAGGGCCCCTTTGCATCCTCCGGCGCGCGCGCCCCTGCGATACGGGATGACCGCCTAGGCGGCGTCCTCCTGCCGTGGTCTGGACCTCCCAGATGGAGTCCGAGTAGATGGGGTCGGAGGATCGCGCCGCATCGCCGACGCATCGGCGATGCGGCTCGATGTGGAGCCCGATTCTCTTCGCGCGGGCGTCGACGATGCGCCGCCAATGTCTCGTCGCTGCATCGTCATTGCCTCGCCGATGCTTCGCTGCTGCCTCGGCGATGCGGCGAGGTCCTCCGACCCCATCTGCTCGGACCCCATCCAGGAGGCCTCTACTTGGGGGCCTCCTCACGGGGTGTGTCAGGAGGGGAACAAACATACAGACACAATTACTAATCGTCGACTCCCAGGAAAATATGCGAAAATATGGGAAGTGGGGGGAAGACGAAAACCCCAAAACATGGGAAAATATTGGGAATCCTGTTATTCCCTACCTAGGCTCTGCCTAGAAGGGTTCTTACCGTGTAAGTTGAAGGGGCCGGGCAGTGTTCCCCGCCCTGGGCGGTTCCCCAGGATCCGCCCCGCGGTTCCCCCAGTTGCGTCCCCTTAGTTTAGCGTTGCTTATCTCATATTAGCTTAGCTTAGCTTTGCTTAGCTTAGCTTGGCTTCATCTTAGCTCCGCTTAGCTGTAGCTGTAGCTGTAGCTGTAGCTTAGCTTAGCTTAGCATATCATGGCATAGCCCAGCATAGCATAGCATAGCGCAGCATAACATAGCATATCATAGCATAGCATTGCATATCATCGCGCAGCATAGCACAGCATATCATCGCATAGCGCAGCATAACATAGCATATCATAGCCTAGCATAACATAGCGCATCCTAGCGTAGCATAGCATAGCGCAGCATAGCGCAGCAGAGCATAGCATAGCATAGCATAGTGCAGCATAGCATAGCATAGCATAGCATAGCATAGCATAGCATAGCATAGCATAGCAGCAAAGCAAAGGAAAAGCAACAACACCAACAGCAAAGCAAAGCACAAGCAACGCAAAGCAAAGCAACGCAAACGCAAAAGCAAAGCAAAGGAAAGGCAACGCAAACGCAACACCATGCAAAAGCAAACACAAGCAAAAACAACGGCAACTACGACGATGAGGAGACGGAGGAGGACGGCGTTTACCGTTACTACTAATGCTGCTATCCTAGGGTCGCACTGGGGTATTTTTTTTTTATTTGCGTGTCCCTGTGAATTTGTATTTATTTATTTGTGGGGTAATTTGTATATGTTTATTTGTGTGGGGCGAGACCCGAGGACAGCCCGCGCAGCGCCTCGCGGCGCGGCGGCGCCGCTCGGCAGCGGGCCAGCCGCCGCCGCGGCTCCGCCCCGCTCGGCAGGAGTTCACGATCGTCACCATGCTGGGCAGCACGCGCCGCGTGAGGGCCGAAGGGTCCTGCCTCATCGGCGCCCCGGGGGCGGGTGCCCGCGGGAGCGGGAGCACGAGACGCCCGAGGGGGGCAAGCAGCAAGAGAAGGGGCGGATGGGGATGCGAAGGAGGAGGAGGAGGAGGAGGAGGAGGAGGAGGAAAGTCACGAGGAGGAGGAGGAGGAGGAGGAGGAGAGGAGGAGGGAGGAGGAGAGGAGGAGGAGGAGAAGAGGAGAAGGAGGAGAGGAGGAGGAGGAGGAGCAGCAGAAGAGGGGAGGAGGAGGAGAAGGAGGAGGAGGAGGAAAGTCACGAAGAGGAGGGGGAGGAGGAGGAGGAGGAGCAGCAGCAGAGCCAAGGGGAGAGGAGGAGAGAGGAGGAGGAGGAGGAGGAGGAGGAGGAGGAGGAGGAGGAGGAGAGGAGGAGGAGGAGGAGTGAGGAGGAGGAGGAGGGGAGGAGGAGGAGGAGGAGGAGGAGGAGGAGGAGGAGGATGCGCATCATCTTGGCAACGAGGATGAAGGGGACGGGGGGGATAAAGCGTTGGCGGCCGGAGAACGGGAGGCGCCCGAGGGGGGAGAAGGAGGAGGGCGAAGAAGAGGAGGAGGGAGGGAGCAGGTGGAGGAGTTGGGACATGTCAGTGCCCTGGAGCTCCGCCAGCTCGCCGAGTGCTGCCCGCGTCCCGACCTCCAGGTTGTAGCGTGCAGTCGAATGAGTGGGGGCGGCGCAGGCCTACAAAAAATCAGCCCCATCACCGTGCCCAACGTCTGACTCCCCCCGCCGCCCCTGTAGCTGGGCAGGCGACTTCAGAGAGGTGCAGTTGCACGCTCGCGGGGAGGACGAGGAGGGGGCCGGGGGCAGAGGGGAAGGCCAGCGGAGGGTGATTTTTGTTCGCAGGGGCGGAGACGGTGGAGGCGGGGAAGGGTATCGCGGCGGAGGAGGAGGAGGAGGAGGAGGAGGAGGAGGAGGAGGAGGAGGAGGAGGAGTGAGGGGAGGAGGAGGAGGAGGAGGAGGAGGAGGAGGCGGAGGAGGAGGAGGAGGAGGAGGAGGAGGAGGAGGAGGGGGAGAGGAGGAGGGATGAGAGGGGGAGGAGGGAGGAGGAGAGGAGAGAGAGGAGGAGAGAGGAGTAGGAGGAGGAGGAGGAGGAGGAGGAGGTGAGGAGGAGAGTGGGGAGTGAGGAGGAGGAGGAGGAGGAGGAGGAGGAGGAGGAGGAGGAGGAGGAGGAGGAGGAGTGAGGAGGAGTGAGGAGGAGGAAGAGGCGGAGACGGAGGAGGAGTAGCTTGAGGAATGGGTGCAGAAGACGGAACCGCAGAAGGAGGAAGAGGATGATGAGGAGGAGGAGGAGGCAAAAGGGGATCATGAGCAAGAGCAGGAACATGGTTTACGGAGGGGAAGGATGCACAGGAGGGAGAAAGGATAGCGGCATAGTGAGTGGGAGAAGGGAAACCATGTTCCGTTATGGCGCCTCTCGTCAGGCACTTGGTGGCAGTTGGACATGTGCTTGATCGGCCCCCTCACCCGGAAACCGCAGCTTGCGCGCGCGGGGGGGCGACCGCGGACGCAGCAGTTCCGCCACAGGGGAGGGGGGTGAATTTTCTTCTCCCTCCTCCTTCTCCTCCTCCTCCTCCTCCTCCTCCTCCTCCTCCTCCTCCTCCTCCTCCTCCTCCCTCATCCGCCAGCAGCCACACCTCCATCTGGGACTACTGCTGCTTCTGCTGCTGCTGCAGGCTGTTATGCCTACTACATTGCTGCTGCAGGTCGGCTGCCATTACCCCTGCTGCTGCTAATATTATCACTGCTGCCACTGTGCTGCAGATGCTGCCGCTGGTCAGCTCCACTCACGACAACCTTTGCTGCGACTGCTCCCTGGATTTTCCTCCGCTCTGCATGCCCCTCATCTCCTGTTCGTCGCCCCCTCTCTCATCCAGCCTCCTGCTGGCGTCGCCTCCAAGAACCCACTCCCGCGTCCTCGCGCGGAGCGGTAACTGGCGTTCGTCCCTGTCGCTGCCCGCCCTCCCTTTCCCTGCCTGCTCCCCCTTCCCTCCTGCTCCTGCTCCTTCGCCATTTTCGCTCCCCCTCCCCCCTCCCGCTTCTCCGTGCCCTTCCTTTGCATTCCCTCCGCCTCTCCCTCCGTGCCCTCCTCCCTTCCACTGGCCCTCGCCCTCCCCCGCCATGCCCCCTCCCCTCCCCCTGGGCCGAGTCAACCGAGGCCTCATGCCCAATAGTTGGAAGCCAGGAGCTCGTGATTGTATCTAATGGCCTCGTCATTGGTCCCATTTTGCAGGCGTCTTGGGGTCTGAGCTGGATGGGCCCAGAGAGAATCGGTCAAGAGGAGGATAAGGGCGAATCCGGTCAAAATCGGTCCCTGGACCCCTCCCGGGGTCCATCTGGTGCAGATTGCCACCCCGGATCCGTACGGTCCCGGGGCCCGATATCGGCCGAAGAAGGAACAACATTCTTTCAGAACCTCGACCTCGTCGCCCCCTTCCGCTGCCCGTTACCAGTGCTGGGCCACCCCAGACCCCCAGCCCGCTCCGAGTCCTCTTCCCTTCCCCCCCGCCTCCCGCCGCCATGCGCCCCCCACCCCCCACACACCTTGGAGGAGAAAAAGGAAGGGAGGAGGAGGAGGAGGAGGAGGAGGAGGGGAGGAGAGAGGAGGAAGGAGGAGGGAGGAGGAGGGGGAGAGGAGGAGGAGTGAGGAGGAGGAGGAGGAGGAGGAGGAGGAGGAGGATGAGGAGGCGGAGAGAGGGAAGAGGAGGAGAGGAGGAGGAGGAGGGAGGGGAGCGAGGGAGGGAGGGAGGGAGGGAGGGAGGTAGGGAGGAGGGGAGGTCCCCGATGCACCCCCTCCTCTCTAGGGGGCGCGCCCTGCCCCCCCGGGTCGCGGCTCCTGCGCCCCGCCCGCTCCGCCCCGACCCCCGCGCCGCGCCGGCCCGGCGGAGGCGACGCGGCCGCGGCCACCTGAGGCGGGCCTCCAGGGGGGGACGCGGGGGGGTACGATTAAGCCAGGCCTGTCCCTCTACAGGAGGAGCTGTCAAGAATAGCCCCAAAAAATAGTCTGGGGACGATGTTTTGTGATTGTTTTTTCGAGCATTGTTCGAATTGTTGACGCTTCGCGTATCCCCACCAGCCCATCCAGAAACGATGCTCAGGGGAGTTGAGGTGATCAGGGAAGTCGGGGAGCATGCAGAGTAACAAAGGGCGGGGGAAGCTGTCACAGACCCCGAGAGGGGGAGGATGGAAGAGGAGTCGTCGTCGTCGTCGTCGTCGTCGTCGTCGGAGGAGGAGGAGGAGGGGGACGAGGAGGAGGAGGAGGAGGAGGAGGAGGACGGAGAAGGAGGAAGAATCGGAGGAGGAGGAGGAGGAGGGGAAGGAGCTTCTTGGGGGTCTTTTGAGGGCCTCTTGGAGGGCTTTTTGGGCGCCTTGGGGCATCTTGGGCGCCTCTTGGGACCCTCTTGAGGCGCTCTGGGAGCCTTCGGGGCGCTTTTGGGGCCATCTTGGAGGGAGTCGATCAAACAAGAGGGGGGGTTTAATTAGCGCCCCCCCTCGGAAGCCCCTAAAATCGCCTCTTGGACCCCTCTTGGAACGCTCTTGGAGTGCTCTTGGGCGCTCTTGGGGCCGTCTTGGGGCTCTTTTGGGGCTCTATTGGGGCCCTCTTGGGCCATCTTGGAGCCATCTCCAGGCCTCGGATAGCCATCGGAAGCGAAAAGGCGAGAAAGCAAAAATCATTGATTTTCCTTAGGTTTTGGGACGATTTTGGCCTCTTCGGGGCCTCCTTGGGGAGCTGTTTGGCCACTTGGAGTTATCTTGGGGCCGTCTTTGGCTTCTTGGAACCATCTTAGGAGCCATCGTGAGCGATCTTGCGCTATCTTGAGCCATCTTGGAGCTCATCTTGGGTTCTCTGAGGCGCTCTTGGAGCCGTCTTGGGCCATCTGGGACGCTCTAACTACCCGCGGCCCCCCCCGTCCAGGTCCAGGGGAGGGGGTAGGGGGAGGGGTAAACCCCTCCCCAAGGGGGAAGAGGGAGGGGTGGAAGAGGATCTGCTCTAGACCACCTACGCCCAGAGGGCTGGTGGGATTTGTCGTCCAAAATCCGCCCGTAGGGGGACATGCCCGCCTTCAGGGTGCGAGGAGGAGAAGGAAGCGGAGGCTCGCCCCTGAGGGGTGCCTCCTGGCGCTACCTCCGTGGTCCCTTGTTCATCCTGCAGGCGCTCGTTGATCACCCCTCCTCTGCCCAGGGGCGACCGCCACCTTGGGGCGGCGATGGCAGCATCCCTGGGCGGAGGAGGCGGAGGAGGAAGAGGAGGCAGAGGAGGGGAGGAGAGGAGGAGGAGGAGGAGGAGGAGGAGGAGGAGGAGGAGGAGGAGGAGGAGGAGGAGCAGCAGCAGCAGCAGCAGCAGCAGCAGCAGCAGCAGCAGCAGCAGAGAGTCAGCACCCGGTGTGTCTCAAGCCGCTGCCCCGCGAACACGGTCGGTCTCTCCTGCCCAGCCCCACCAGGAGGGGCGTGGACGCGGCAGGCGGGAGGACGGGGGTACCGAGAAAGGGCGCGGAGCGCTCCAGGGGCGGCGCCCGAGGCGCCAGCGGGAGAGTCAGCGACGATCCGAGAAATTCGCGTTAACCTCCGAACGTTTATGCATGTGCCTCGGGGAACAGATAGTGGCATAAACTAAAAACATGAACTTCCAGAGGTCCTGGCGGATTTCTCCGATCGGCGCTGCTGCCCGCGCGCCGGGAAAGGGGTCCAGTGCCGATCCAAGAAACCAGCGCGGTCCTTGAACGTCCATGTTCATGTTATTTATCCGTAAGGGTTTCGCCCCCTGCCGTCAACCCCCTCTCTATCATATCAGAGTCGCGTCGGTGCGTCTCGGCGCTGCCTTGGCGCATCTGGGAACATCATGCGGGGCGGATAGGAATCGCCAGCTCAAAATGAGACGCTGGCGTTATCCGAGTGGCCTTCGGCCAATCCCGCCACCGTGCCTGGGTTGTGGGTCTGAGGCCTCTTGTATATGCGTTGGGGTGTCTTGGGGAGCCTCTCGGGGGCTTCTTGGAGGCGATTTGGGCGCTTCTTGGGAGCCTCTTGGAGCCTCGTGGGATATCTTTTTGGGCCTCTTGGAGGCATCTTGGGCGCGTGTTGGGCGCCTCTTGGGGCCTCGCGGCGGATTCTTGGGGCCTCCTGGGGCTTCCGGGGCACAAATCTAACATTTTCGGTTCGTGGTCCCCTGCTTGGGCTCCTCTTGGGACCGTCTGGGGGCCTTCTTGGGCTGTCTTGAGCGCCTCTTTGGCCATCTTGGAGCCTCTTGGGGCCCTCTTGGAGGCCTCTTCGGCTGTCTTGGGGCAGTCTTGGGGGCTTCATGAGCCGTCTTGGAGCGTCGGAAAGCCGAACATGCGACAAGACACAAATCTTTCAAAGACCTTAGTACAATCTTTTATTTGGGCCTATTGGGGCTCTCTCGGGAGGCCTCTTGGAGCGCTCTTGGGCCCTCTTGGGGCCCTCTTGGGGCCCTGTTGGGCCGTCTTGGAACCAACTTCGGGCGCCTTGGAGCACTCTTGGCCTCGGCAATGCTAATGTAACGTAAAATGCTAAGGTTTATGGCTTCGGGGACGCACGCGAGCATTGTGTAATTTACGGGGGGGTGTTGCTTCGGGGACGCAATAATTGTTCAATTTGGAAGGGTTTGTGGCCTCGGGGGCGCGAACACGGTGTAATTTACAAAGGATTATGGCTTCGGGGGCGAAAATATTTTGTATCTTCCCTGGAAGGGCAGGGGCCCAGGGTGTTCTTTTAGCAGGTAGACGGTCCCCGGTGCCAAGTTCGACCAGGGCTGGCGGAATCTTTCCCTGATAAGCAACGAAGTCGAAGAGGGCCGGCTGATTAAAACTTGAGGATGTCCCGAGCGAAGTGCAGTTATTTTGAAATTCCAGTCGAAAAGATCCAGGGTGAAGTCAGCATTTTCGTTTGTTGCGGATGTCTCGAGCGAAACGTTTGTTCTGTGCTATAGATCGTTTCTCCCCTGGGGACCAGAATTCAGAGGCAGTCTCTGGTGAAATGCTTGTTTTCACGTGCCCAGGTCTTGATGATGTCTCGAGCGAGACGCTTGGTCTCACGCTTTCAGGTTGCCCCGGCAGATGCCTAGCATCAGGATTTCTGGAGGGTGTCTCAAGCGAAACGCTTATTTTCACACGTCCAGGTCGTCCAGATCGTCCAGTGCAGACAATGCCTGCCCGTCTCCAACCGCTCTTGCTGTCGTGCATTGGCCCTCGGTTGGCTCATTATTCTGTTTTCCTCGTGGTAGCACGACGACGACTGCACAGTGGAAGCCCATGCCAAGAAACACCCCGCTTGCCTCCGGTGTGCCCTGGGTTTCTTGTGTTTCGATGGCTTCGCTGCGGGAAGCGTGGCGTTCCCCCACCAAACATCGGTGGACGTCCTGGCTGTCGACGCATGCGCGTTGTCCTGACGCCTCTGTCTCCTGTGCTCGCGACGTCGATTCGTCGCCCGCCGCTCGCTCGCTCGGACGCACGCTTTTGAGTGGTGCGTGCGGGGACCTGGTCAGTCCTTGGTCAGCGCTCTGTTGCCGACGCGCCGTCCGGGCGCCCTGGGGTCCTGGGGTCTCAAGGTCCTGTGGTCCTGGGCCCTGGGCCCCCAGGCCTCGATCTCAAGGTCCTGTGGTCCTGGGGTCTCAAGGTCCTGTGGTCCTGGGGTCTCAAGGTCCTGTGGTCCTGGGCCCTGGTCTGTCTGTCCTGGGGTCTCAAGGTCCTGTGGTCGAGCTCCCGCTCGACCGCACGACCTTGAGACGGTCGGCCGGCAGCTCGACCCACAGGCAGCTCGAGCTGTGGTGTGTGTGGGTCGGTCGACCACACACACACCACAGCTCGACCTTGCCTGTCTTCGGAGGGCACCAACGATACACCAGCACCGATCCTGGCCAGGATCACCCTGGGCCCAGGATCGGTGTATACGCCCTCCTGCCTGGGGCAGGAAGGCATATGCACCGATCCTGGGCCCAGGATTGGCCTGGCCAGGATCGGTGTAGGTGTGTAGTTGGTGCCCTCCCCTGTCTGTCTGTCTGTCCTGGGGCCTCAAGGTCGGGCGTCTTGCGGGAGGCGTCGTGCGGCCGAGCTCCTGCCGTGGAGAGGGCCCGGGGGCCCAGGGAGAGGGGCAGTCACGGGGCGTGGCGTCCGCGGGGCGAGGGGGGCAGCAGGGAACGCGGGGGGCAAGAGTGCTGGGCCTGTTTTCCACCAGCACCACCACCACCACCCCAGGGAGAGGGGCAGTCACGGGGCGTGGCGTCCGCGGGGCGAGGGGGGCAGCAGGGAACGCGGGGGGCAAGAGTGCTGGGCCTGTTTTCCACCAGCACCACCACCACCACCATAAGTTAGGGGGGGGGGGGTCCTCCTCCTCCTCCTCCTCCGCCGCCTCCTCCTCCTCCTCAACTTTGTCCTCCTCCTCGTCCTCCGCCTCCTTCCCCACTCCAACTTCTGGTGGTGGCGGTGGTGGGAACAGGCCCAGCAGAAAGGGAACACAGGTCATAGCAGTTTTTTGGAGCAAGGGAGGGCAAGGGGCAAACAGGAACAGGGGAAACAAGGAGCAGAAGGGAAAAGAAGCAGCTTGGAGTTCGGAGGGGGGGGGGGGGGGAAACACGGGGCAGAGGGGGCGGGAAGGGACGGGATGGGCGCGGAGGTCCGTGGCGAGGGGCCGGCACGGGGGGAAGAGGACGGAGAGTGGAATCTGCGTAAGTCGCCGAGCGCGTTCCACTACTCGCAAAGTGCCTACTCGCAAGCGTCCGAAGACCACATGTCTGCTTCGATGCCATTTATCGTAGATCCCCCGCGGCGGATACAGGCCATTTGCGAGTAGTCACTTTTCGAGTAGTGCAACGAGCTCGTCTAGTAAAGGGTGTGGGGAGGGGGGCCAGATCGAGCAGTGACGAAGCGCCCTGGCTTGACTATGCGCCCACCAAGGAATGCTACACTAAGAATATGTTTGAGGTCTGCGCGAGATGTTCTCAGAACGCTTCTGGCTGAGGCTGTCATGCTTAGATGCATCGGGTTTCTGTTTTACTCAGAACGCTGCTTTTGTTCTTGGAACTTCTTTGGGGTTCGAAGAACATGTCGTGGTAGGCCTACAGGAATGCCGGGACGGTCGGCCCCCTTTCAAGTAGAGAGAGGGGGGGTTCGTCGGAGAGCTCTTTGCTCCCGCGCCCAGCCCCTCTGGCCTGGGACCATGTCTGTCCTGCAAATGGTGGCCGTTTCGTGCAATCGGCGTGGGTTCGACGTGAATTCGGCGTGGATCCGACGCGGAATCGGCACGGCTTCGGCGCGGATTCGACGCGGCCGGCTGGCGCGATGGGGCAGACGAGGCCCCCCCCCGAAGACGCAGCAGACGGTACCCTTGTGCCTCCCTCCCTCCTCCTCCACCCACTCGTGGGGGGGACGGGGGAAAAGATGGTAATGATGATGATGATGATGATGATGATGATGATGATGATGATGATGATGATGATGATGATGCTGATGCTGATGCTGATGCTGATGCTGATGCTGATGCTGATGCTGATGCTGATGCTGATGCTGATGCTGATGCTGATGATGATGATGATGATGATGATGATGATGATGATGTCTCCTTTTCAGCTAGCGGGAGACCGCTGTGACAAGGCGTTGGCCCCGCAGGGACTCTCCGAGCCCTGCTGTGAGCTCGCTGGGTAAGCCTTCCAGGGCCAAACTGACTACGGATACAGGGGAGGGGGGGGCGGCAGGGTGTGAACTTCGGCCTGGGCGCCCCTGCGTGGCCGCTCGGAGTGAGGGCTGGCGCCGGGCTGCAGGGCGTGCCGCCGAGGCCGCGCCGTCCGAGCTGAGGGGAGCGAAGCACGCCATAAACTCCTCGTCCTCCTCCTCCTCCTCCTCCTCCTCCTCCTCCTCCCTCCTCCTCCTCCCCCTCCTCCCCCCCCCCTCCTCCTCTCTCCCCTCCTCCTCCTCTCCTCCCCTCTCCTCCTGCTCCTCCTCCTCCTCCTCCTCCTCCTCCTCGCCACTGGTGACCCTACCGCATCCCCAGACCCCCAACGCCATGCTTCTTGCAGAGCCTAAAAACTCGGAGGTCCGCGCGGATTTCTCGGATCGGCGCTGGACGCCCCGAGCGCGCCAGGGGGCGGCGCCGGAGGCGCCGCCGGCGAGAGATCCGGTCGGACCTCCGAGTCTTTTTATGCTTATGTCAGGGCTGGACCTAAACGGTGTTTTGGGTTGATTTCGAGGGCCGTTTTCGTTTCGATCTCGTTTCGCGGGAAAGGTGGATTCGAGACAAAAGCGAGAGAACACGAAGCCAAAGCGAAAACGAAAAACACCGCTCAGGTTCAGCCCTGGTTTATGTCATGCTTCGTTTCCCTACGACGAATGCCTCCTCGTCCTGCCTCTCCGCCTTCGGTGGTGCTCTGGGCGCACGCGTGGGGCGGCATGGAAGCGCCCTCCTCGGCTCGCCTGACGCCTCCCCCGGGTGCCCATGCTCCCCTCCCCCCTTCCCTCCCTGCTCGCCTCCCCTTCCCCCTCCCCCCCTCCACAATGACTCAATATGAATACTACTTTCCTCCTTCCCATGATGACGGGTTGGGAGTGTTCGCCCCCCCCCCCCCCCCGCGTATTGTTTTTTTGCACACAGGATTCCCGGGAGTTGGGTTTTCGCTTGCATTTTTTTCAAAATGCTGCTCTCGCTGAGGCGCCGGCCTCATTTTCGGGCCCCGCTCGTTCCGAATCGTGCTCCCGCTGCAGCGCTGGCCTCATTTCCGTGCTTCCGCTCGTTCCGAATCGTGCTCCCGCTGCAGCGCTGGCCTCATTTCCGCGCTTCCGCTCGTTCCGAATCGTGCTCCCGCTGCAGCGCTGGCGTCATTTCCCGTGCCATGCCACGGCATGCAATGCAATGCTAGGTTGCGTTCCGCTGCGCGATGCCATGCCTTCAGCTGAAGCTGTGATATGCAGTGCTTAAGTGCCACGTCGTGCTATGCCATGCTACGCTTTGATCTTCAACGCCATGCTATGCAATGTTATGTTCGGGGCCGCTGTGCGATGTCATGCTTTGCGTTGCAAAGCTTTGTGATGCAATTCTTCACTACGCCACGCCACGCCATGCTGTGACACACTACGCTTTGCGGTGCTCTTCTACGCCATGCCATGCCGTGCTCTACAATGCATCGCGTACCCTTTCGGGATCATTGCCCTGCTCGACATCCGACTGTGCGAGTAGAGAGGGGATCTACGCCATGGTAAGGGATGGGAGGGAGGGGTAGGATGTCAGATATGACGCGAGCGCACCTAGGTTGCCCTCCCCCCTCCCCTCCTCCCGTCCTCCTCCCTTTTCCCTTCCATCCTCGCGTGCCCCTCCTCCCCTCCCCCTCCCCGTCTGCTCGCCTCCCCCGCCCTCCTCTTTCGCAGGCCCTGGGCCCCTGGGGTCCCTCGCGCTGCGGCCGCTCTTTCGGTCTCGGGCCTCTTCTGCTTCGGACCGCTGCTCGACCGTGCACGTGGCCCCTCCTCCAGCGGAGCTCTCGTGCCGGCCTCTCTTCGCAGGTCACGTCTGTGTCTCCTCCTCCTCCTCCTCCTCCTCCCCCTCCTCCTCCTCCTCCTCCCTCCTCCTCCCCCCTCCTCCTCCTCCTCCTGCTCTCCTCCTCCTCTCCCTCCTCCTCCTCCTCCTCCTCCTCCTCTTCCTCCTCATCCTCCTCCTGCTCCTCCTCCTCCTCCTCCTCCTCCTGCGCTCGACTTTGTTGATGATTGCCAGCGTGTTTCAGAGGAGCCCTGATCCGCTGCCGTTTTCGGGTCTCCTTGTCGCGCTGAGGCCTTGCGGGGGGGGATGGAGGCCGGGCTGTTCCGCTTGCTGCGCGACGCGGGGCAAGCGCTGACCACCGCCGTCGTGGTGCGCGCGGCGGTGCCCGACTGCCCAGACTGCTGGTGCGGTCCCTCCCTGCACTGCCCCGCCCTACAGTGCTCGTGCCCCGGCGGCGATGGTACGGTGGCTGCCGCCTCGAGCCGGGGCTGCCCGAGCGGGCAGCTGGCCAGGGTGGCGGCGCTGTCCCTGCTCGCGGGCTGCGGGCTGGGGGCCGTGGGGTTCGCCTGGGCGACGCGCACCCGCGTGCCCGTGGCGGCGACTGTTCGGCCGCAGGTGGAGGCGTCGGTGGCCCCGGAGGAGTGCGACCTCTCGCAGGTGGCGCTGGAGCTGGTTCAGGCATTCCGCCGACGGCCGTCGGCTAGCTGCCGTTGAAGGCCGCCCCGACGGCGACGCCAGGAGATTTTCATCTCATTCGCTATCGCGTCGGAGGGCCGGTGCTGTGCCATGAGCGGCTGGACCTCTTCACCTCAGGGTACGTGATGACGCCCGACTTCGACGACTACGGCGAGTCGGTGGTGGCCGACGCGGACGTGCAGGAGGTCCACTTCGTGCACCGCCAGGGCGGCCGCGTGGGAGGAGTCGCCGCCAATCGGGTCTACAGGTTCAGACGCCTGCCGACCGCCCATGAGGTCTGGGCGGCGCTGCGCCGAGGGGCGGGCCAGGGCTACAGAGCTCTGCCCGTCTCGCCTTTCTTGCTGACGGTGTCGGCGGTGATCTGCTCGGGGCTGCCTGCTGGGACGGGGGCGCTGGCGGATCCTGCTCTGGGGGTGCCCCCGCAGCCGGCCGCCAGGCCCGCCGCGCCGCCCGCCGCGGCCGTTGGGCCCTTGGCGCTGGCGGCCCGACCTGGCGCTGCGGCTGCCGCCGGAGGCGCTGGCGCTGCTCTGGTGCCGGTGGCCGAGGCGCCGCCATTGCCCGCGCCGCCTGCCGCGCCGATGAGGGCCCCCGCCGTGCCGACTCGGCGCCTGTCGCGCATTTGCCGAGTGGCGAGCCGGCGGCGGGATGACACTGGATCGCCGCGGAGGATGTCGATGGGGCGATCACGTTCGGCGCGAAGGTGGCGGTCGGGGCCCCAGGAGGCGCGACCCTAGTTGGTCGCGTGGGTCGGCGGGGCTTGCTGTCGCTGGCGGGCGGCTTGGGAGCGAGCGCGGTGCTCCTGCAGGACGCCGAGCTGCCCTGGTTCACGCAGGAGTACCGCGGCAGTGACGCCCGCACGCTAGAGTTTCCGCCTGGGGCTGGGCAGCGGGGTGGAAACGGCCGAGAGTGGCGCGAGGTGGTGGGGCTCTGCCGCGAGGAGGCCACCCCTGGCTTCGGGGTCGCGCCGCCCAGGACGGCGCAGTGGTGCGCGAAGTACCAGGTGAAGGAAGGCGGCCCGATCCTCCATCGTAAGATGTGGAAGTCAAAGCGCAAGCTGAATTCGTCCGACTTTGGAGTCGACATCCACGAAACCATCTCGAAGATTCTCGAGTTGATGGGCTCCAACGACAACCTGGACGTCTTACACCTCTCGAGCGCGGAGCTCGGCTACAGGAAGCCCCAGTTGATCGAGCACTAAAGGGACGACAGGAGTGCGGAGCAGCAGCAGCAGCAGCACAACATGCGGATGCCCTTGGAGGAGGCCTTCGCGTTTATGGGAGGGTCACGCTCTCCCTCGATGGCGCGCCCAGAGCTGCTGGACACGGCGTCGAAAGAACTGGGGAGGATCCACGGCATCACGAAGAACGCGAGGAAGCTTCGGCAGGAGCAGAGAGCGGCCAGGGGCAGCTCTGCTCCTCCCAGGAAGTCACGATGATGGGTCCGCCCCGGGATTGCCTCGGCCCGGGGGCGCGGCAGCAGAGGTCACGGGCGGGGGCGACGATCACCTGCAGCGCATGCTCCTGCCCCTGCCGGCCCCCGACTGGCTCTGCGCAGCTGCAGCCGGCGAGGGCGGCGGCGGCCGCGCTGCGCGGCGCCGTCGCGCCAGCGGGGCGCGGCAGGGGGGGCTCGTCTCCGAGCTCGTGATGGCGCTCAACCAGATGGGCGCGGGCCGCGACGCCCCGCCGCGCTGCGCGGGGGCGGGGCCCAACCTGATGCAGCAGCTGTGTTTGGAGTTCCTCGCCGAGGGCTGCGCGGCGATGGGCCCCCCTCCTCCAGACCTGTCGGGAGCTCCAGGCCGGCGCGGGCTACTCTGGCGGCGAGCCCGCCACGGTGGCTCCCTTCGCGCGCGATCTCGTGTCCTTGCCGGCGGTGAGCGGCGCGCCCGTGCCCCTGTGCCGGCTGCTGGGTCGCGACGGTCCTGATCTCGCGCGGAGGTTTACTACTTCGACAATTTTGCCAATTCAGACTGCCGAGATTTTGAAGAGGGGGGCCGGCTTCGCGAGGCCCTACCTGGACCCGGCGCCGCGGCAGCCCGCGGCGCACCTGGCCTTCGTCGAGAGGATGAGGGACGGGGGCATGCTGGAGTTCAGGGCGTGGACGAGGGCGATTTTGAGGAGGTCGGTCTCTTTGCCGTTTGGAAGAAAGATGGGCACCAGCGCTTGGTCATCGACTGCAGAGGCAGTATAACTTCAGGTTCGACGAGCCCAAGAAGACCTGTCCAGTGTCGGGCGGCAGCTTCAGTTCCATCGAGCTGGCGCCAGAAAAAGTGCTCTGGACGGCAGGCGTGGACATCGCGGACGCCTTCTACAACGTGGGCCTGCCGTCAGAGCTCACGCGCCTGTTCGCTCTGACGCGGCTCCGGGCGCCCCAGCTGGGCGTGAAGGAGCTGGGGGGCGGGTGGGTGGGGGCGCGCGTTGGCGGGTCGAGCCCGGCTGCGCCCGTGCTCGGCCGCCCGGCCAATGGGGTGGGCGCATGCTTTCGATTCCTGTCAAGGAGTGCACAGATATATTTTAATCGAGCGAGTGGGTTTCAGTGATGCCCCCGAGATTGTGGATGGCAAGCCTGTTCCTTCGGTGCGCGAGGGTGCTTTCACTGCGTACGTTGACGACTGCATCTCGTTCGGAGTGGATGCTAACACGCCTGGTTCATTGTAAAAGGTTGCGCAGAGAGCTCTAAGTCAGGCTAGTCTTCCCTTGCGTGAACCCGATGCCCCGACTTCAGTTTCTGAACAAGTTGGATGGGTCTTTGACGGAGAACGTGGGGCTGCAAGACCGAAGTGTCGTCGTGCCTGGAGGATGCGTCTTGGGATTCACGGCCTTCTGTCTCGAGAGTGGGCCTCTGGGCGTCAAGTGGGCAATGTCGCTGGTCACTTCGATTTCATTGCTATGTGCTATGTCTAGACGTTCTCTGCTTGCGGTATTCAGTTCGGTGTGCGCCTTCTCACGTAAGTCTGTCGATAGGGTTGTCAAGCTGCCGCCCTCCGTCCGCCGGGGGCTCCACTGGGCCGCGCGTCTTGTTCCTTTTCTCTGGGCTGATCTGAGGGCCCCTTGGCCGGCTAGAATCGATTCGAGCGACGCGAGCGAGGAGGGGGGGGGGGGGGCGCCAGCCTGAAAGGGGGCCAAGGTGGACAATACACTAGCAGCGGGCTGGCGCGGAGAGAGGCGGCGATTTCGACGCGAAGGCGGAGCTCGACCGCGGGACTGCCTTTTCGAGCAGAGCCACGTTCAGAGCGTCACGGATGCGAGTTTCGAGCTGATCGTCGAGCCCGTCGCGTCGCGGAACGAGAAGCCCGTCGCGCCGCTGGAGGCGGAGGAGGAGTATCCCGAGGGTAACCCGTGGAAGGTCACGGAGATAGGGGAGGAGCTGCGCGGTGGAAAGTGGCAGGTGGTGTCGAGCGGGGGGTGGGCGAGGACTGGGATGATCATCGTGCTCGAGGGTCGTGCTCTTGTCCGCTCTCTTAGACATGCTCTTCGTGACTCGAAATCGTTCGGCAGGCGCGTCTTCTTCCTCTGTGATCACATGGGGCTCGTGTGTGCGATAGAGAAGGGCCGCCCCTCGGCGGGGAGGCCCTGCGAGTCGCTCGCCAATGGGCGGCCTGGTGCCTGGCTGGAGCGGTGCAGGCGTCAGTGCGATGGATTCCGTCTGAGCGGAACATCGCTGGTGCGCCGTCGCGCCGCCGCGGCGGACGCTGCAGCGGGGCTGGGGCGCTGGCGCCGCAGGGGCGCTGGGCGCGTCAGCTGGCGGGCCGACGGCCTGGGCGCAGGTCGCGAGCTCGCCGAGCTGGCTGCGCGAGCCCGCGGTCGGTAGGCTCCGCGGCGCCCGCCGCGGTGAGCAGCGCGGCCCCGGGGCAGCCTGCTGCCTCCGCCGCGGCGCCGAGGGCGGCACCTGAGCGCGGAGGCGGCGCAGGCGAGGGCGGAGCTGGTGGATCCGCCAACTCCAGGGGCCAGGAGCCGCGAGCTGGCGCGGGTGGCTCGTAGGGCCAGGAGCGCTGTCAGCCGGGCTCCATTGGCGGCGCCTCGTCTGCAGCGCGCCTCGGCGACGCCGAAGACGGTGGCGCAGCGCGAGGGCCTCTGGCAGGACATCCTGCGTCTGCGGCAGCAGCTGCGCCCGCCTGGATCGATCCAGCCCGAGCCGGGCGACGACGAGCTCGACCTCGTGCTATCGAGGTGGGTGGATCAGGAGTATTCGCTCGGGGAGCTGGCGCAGCGAGGGGCCAAGGATCTGGCTGCAGTGAAGTACTTCAGGCCGCAGTACGCCAGGACGGGCGGCATGTTTCTGCCGCGGTCGGCGCAAGCGCCGGAGGGGTGGAATCGGCTGGCCCCAGGGCGGGCTCGGCTGCCTCTGCCCTGGGAGGCGGTTGCGCTGATCGCGCTGGAGCTGCTGCTGACGGGTTACTGGGCGATGGCGGTCTGGACGGTGATCACCTTTCACTGCTACCTTCGCCCGAGCGAGCTGCGTCGGGTGCGCGGCGAGATGCCGGCGCCGCCAGTGCTGGAACGCACGTGCTTCACTGGGCGACTGTCCTGCACCCCAGCGAGGGAGCGGTCAGCAGCATGGCGAGGGAGTTCGACGAGACCGTCGCGTTCGACCTGCCGCTGTTCCACTTCGCGGTGCCCGCGCTCGCCTTCCTCAAGCGCGAGACCCCGCCGCGGGAGCCGCTGTTCAGGTTCTGGCACGCCGATCTGGTGGCGCAGTTCCGCCGGGCCGCCCATCGGGCGGGCCTGCGGGCGCCGGGGCCCGAACTGTACAACGGCGGGCCGAGCCGCGACCGAGCTCGGCAGCCAAGAGCGCTGCGGGAGATCAAGCTGCGAGAGCGGCGGCACTGCGCCTCGAGCGCCAGGCGCTACCTGAAGGAGGGGCGCGCGGGGGAGCAGCTGCAGCGGCTGTCGCCCGACGCTCGGAGGCGCGCGTTCGAGGCGGCCTCGCGGCTGCCCTGCTGCCTCGCGAGGCCTTCGCTCGCACCCTGGCCAGCAGGGGCGCCCGCCCCGTCCACCCGCAGGTCTTTCTAGAGCTGTTCAGCGGCAGTGGCGGGCTCTCGCGGGCGATGCGGGCGAAAGGCCCCCTGGTGCTAGAGCGGGGCATCCAGCGAGGCGCGGCGTGGGATCTCTCCGCGCCAGCTGCCCGCGCAAGCTCGTCCGCGGCTGGACATCGCTGGCCAGGTGTGGGGGGCCTTCCTCGAGGCGCCGTGCCAGACCTGGACGCGCGCCCGAGACGCGGGGCCGCTGCGCGTGCCGGGGCCGGCCAGGCCGGCGTTGCCTTCGAGGTTGAGATCAGATCGACATCTGATGGGGCTTCCTGAAGTGACTCGCTCGAGTGATCAAGAGGCTATTCGGATTGGCAATTTTCTCGCCGGCCCCCGTCGCCGCATCCTCGATTTGATGCATCTTTTGGGCCGCCTGGCCCTTGAGAACCCCGCCCGCTCCCGTTCGCGGCTTCTTCCACGTTTGCAAGGGGCTTCGAAGTGGAGCTCCAGTGCTTCAGTAGTCACGGACATTTGCCAGTGGGGCACCCAGTGGAAGAAGCCCACTCGTTTCCTCGGCGATCACGTTTCGCCCGATCCCATCGCTCGCGTGTGTCATAGTTGCGGTCTGCGCGCAGTAGGACAGGAACAAAGCATGCATCCATCCACGATTTAGCGCAGGGCGGTGGTTTCAAGACGAAAGCTGCCCAATAATACCCGCCGTCACTGCGTGCCGCACTCGCAGAGTGTTTCAGTCAGGCGCACGGCGTGACTCAGACCACTGTCTTCTCCAAAGTTTTTCTTTCGCGGTAAATGTGCGCACGTGCTTTAGTATTCGGTTAACCGCGAGCGCTGCGTTCAGTGAAGCTTGTTCGATCGTATCGGCGGCCCGAAAAAGAGGGCCCTCTGATCTCGGCGGCGGCAGGCGACATGCGCTCTTGTTTGTTGATGATTGCCAGATGCCACAGCACGAGAGGCCGCGTGTTTCAGAGGAGCCCTGATCCGTTGCCGTTTTCAGGTCTCCTCGTCGCGCTCCCTGCCCCCCCTCCCTCGCGCGTTGTTTGATCCCCTGTCGGAGAGATCAGACAGCTGTCGAACACCTGTCGGAGAGATCAAACAGCTGTCGGCCTCGAGCGTGCCTGCCCGCCGTCCAATCGTCTCCGCCGGTGTTGTTTTCAGTGAAGCTTGTTCGGTCGCATCGGCGACCCGAAAAAAAAGCGTCCTCTGGCCTCGGCGGCGGTGGTAGGCGGCCTCCTCCTCCTCCTCTTCCTCCTCCTCCTCCTCCTCCTCCTCCTCCTCCTCCTCCTCCTGTCTCCTCAAGCCCCTTACCGTGCACAGGTCCTGGTAAGCGAGACTTGACGGCCGCAGGGGGTGAAAGCTTGGTGCACCGCGCCATGCGCGGGGGCATGGCCCAATGGCGCCGCCACGCGAGACCCACAGTTTGGCGAGCTCTAGGTGCCAGTTTCACGAACGCTGACAACTGTGCTAACACACGAGGTGGAAACGCAATGAAGCAAGGCAACGGGTACAGCAACCTGGGCCAATTTTGCACCCTCAGCGTTGCGCCCCAAACGTTGCACCCTCAGCGTTGTTTTCCCAACGCCACACCCCCAACGTTGCTTCCAAGGCGATATGCCCGCAATGTTGCTGTCCCAATGCTGCACCCTCAACGCTGCACCCCCCAAAGTTGCAACCTCGACGGTGCCGTCCCAGAGTGGCGTTGCGAGGAGGGCGCGCAGTGGAAGTCCATGCCAAGAAACACCCTGGTTGCCTCCAGGGTGCCCTGGGCTTTTTGGTTTTCGATGGTTGTGCGATGAGCGGCGTGACGTGCCCACACCGAAAAATTCAATGGACGTGCCCCTGCTGCAGCAGCTGGCGAACCGGGCCGGGGCTGGGCGGGCAGAGCCGCTGGCAGCACGCGCGCGCCGGCACGGCAGGGGCGCAGACGCGGGGCAGCCAGCACGGCCGCGCCCAGGCCGCCGAACGCTGCCGCCAGAGGCTCTTCCAGAATTGGCGGAAGGCCCGCGCTTGGGAGCAACGTGGAGGCCACTGCTTCCGCCAGGATACTCAGAGGAGGAGGAGGAGGAGGAGGAGGAGGAGGAGGAGGAGGAGGAGGAGGAGGAGGAGGAGGAGGAGGAGGAGGAGGAGGAGGAGGAACCCCTACCTCTCCTTCGGCCGTGTTTCCTTCCTGGGGCCCCCTGGGAGGCCCTCGTCGCCAGCGCTGGATTCGCTTCGGAAGTCTGGACAAATCACACCCCGGGAGAGGTCCGGGGGGTAGCTGTATCGATACCTTTTGGTTTCGGTGATGGGGCGGTCCATGTTGCCTGCCAGCGCTACAGCTGCAAGTTCTCGAAACAGAAAGGATAACGATATAAACATAACCTTGTGGCGCTCCGCGCGGATTTCTTGGATCGGCGCCTGGGCCCCTCTTGGCGGCACCCCCGGCGCCTCCCCTGGCGCACTCCGCGCGCCGGGGAGGGGGATCCAGCGCAGGGCGGAGCGCCAAAAGTTTATGTTTATGGCTCCTTTTCTTTTCTGGCCACGGTAAGTGGGCGGCCCATGCTGCCTGCCAGCGCAGCGGCTGCAAGTTCGGCGGGGAACGCCGGACCAGGCGAGGCGGGGAGCCACACCACCGGAGTGCGAGCGGCGTCTGACGACGACGGCGGGCCCGCGGCGGCAGCGGCGTGGAGGAAGGGGCCGGACGCCTGCCCGAGCCGTGGGTGCGTCTGCCTCGCCGCCAGCGTGCCCGCAGGCAGGCAGCAGGCCGCCGCGGCCAATACAGTCCGGGGCGCAGATGCAGTGCTGGAGTTTCGCGCACAAGACCTTACTTGCAGTACGATGCAATACGACTCTCCTGGCGCAATAGATCTGCAAGGCAATTGCCCCAAATCTATTGCACCACCCTCGCTCAGCTGGACACCCTTCTGGGTCGCCCAGCGTCCCGCGCGCAGGTGGCCCGCCCTCGCGCGGGCGACCGCGCGGCGCTCCAGACACTCTTCCCGCGGCAAGGCTGCAGCGGCAGCGCCAGACAGCTCAGCCGACGTCGCCGAGAGCGCGATCCCATGGGGTTCAGGGTCCACGCGGCGCACCGCTTCGGCACTCCTCCTCTCGTCTTTCGGCCACCTCTCTTGCCGTGCACTAGCCCCGCTCCTGGTCCTCCTCGCCCTGTGTCGTTCTCGCCCTTCCCGTCCTCATCGTCCTCGTCTTCCTCCACATCGTCCTTGTCCTTCTCCTCCGCCCCCAGTTCGCAAGGGCTCGGTGTTCACCACAGGCTTCACGTTCTCGAGCCGCCTCGCTCGGTGTAGTGCATGCGGGACGTAGCAGCGGACTCGCTCGCGGGCTCTTCCCCATGCGCTCCCCTCGCCAGACGCCCATTCCGTGTTGTTCCTTGTGTGCGTTCTACTCGTTAACGCACGTCTCCCTCTCTCTCTCTCTTTCTCTTTCTATAGCTGCCTCTCTGTATCTACCGACCGACCGACTTACCGACCGACCTACCTACACCCATACAGACAGACATCATGCCATATACATACTTACAGACCGACAGACAGACAGACAAACAGACAGGCAGACGTACAAACAGACAGACAGACATGCAAACATACAGACATACATATGTACATACCTACATGCAGATACACATATCACCGTAGCCCTGTCTCCAGTGCTTTCTTCCCTCGAGGATCGAGGGTCGTAAGTTTTGAGCGGTCTCCGTTCGATTTGGGACCTCGAGGGACCTCCCGAGGCATCTTGAACTCCCCCGACAAAATCAGTCACGCGTCGCCGCATCTTGGCGCCAATGGACTCCCTCTCCCTTCCTCCGTGCTTGATGCTCTGTTGTTTCTTTTTTTTGTTGTTGCTCTCTCTCTCTCTCTCTGTCTCTGTCTGCACTCCCGATGTGCACCGTGGCCCACAGCCCGTCCCACCACCGTGCCCGGCCTGCTTCCAGAGGGCTCTTGGGGCGCCTCCGCCCGGCTGCCTCCGGCTGCTCCTGCGCCTGCTGCCCTCCTCCTCCTCCGGTGCTGCCCCCGCCGCCCCTGCGCCCTGCGTGCTGCCTCCTCCTCCTCCTTTTCCTCCCTCCTCCTCCTCCCTCCTCCTCCCTCCTCTCCTCCTCCTCGCCTCCCTCCTCCTCCTCCTCCTCCTCCTCTCCTCCTCCTCCTCCTCCTCCTCCCCTCCTCCTCCTCCTCCTCCTCCTCCTCCTCCTCCTCCTCCTCCTCCTCCTCCTCCTCCTCCTCCTCCTCCTCCTCCTCCTCCTCCTCCTCCTCCTCCTCCTCCTCCTCCTCCTCCCCCCCCGTCCCGTCGCGCACGCCCGCTTCCATGCCTCGCGCCTCTCCGGTCCTCGCCTGCGCGCTCGCCGCCGCGTGGTCTTGCTCCTCCCGCTCTTGGTATCGCTCGGACGTGTGCACTCCTCCTCGGCCGGGGATTGTTTCAGGAGCATCCTGCGAATCGTTTTAGGAGCGTCCTAGATCATCCTGGACGCTCCTATGGATCGTAAGCAAAGGAGATCCCTCAATCCTTTTAGGAGCTCCCTGGATCCATTCTCGTCGGGGATTATTTTAGGAGCGTCCTGGATCATCCTGCGACAAAAAGGCACGCACGAAACCGAACAAAAACACATGCAATGGACGTCCGAGCGCCGGGGAGCGCTGCTCGCCCCCCCTTGCGGCCGGGCAGCTCGGACCTCCGGGAGGCATGGAGCGCACCGCATGCTGCACGGAGCCGGTGCCCTGTCTCACGGGACCCCCGAGAGCAGGCAGTCAACGACTGCTGCCCCTCGAGGCGATGCTGGGAGTCCTCTTGCGGTCCTCTTGGTGCGGTTGGGGGCCCGGTGGGCCGTCTTGAGGCCATGTTGGGCTGTTTGGGGGCACTCTTGGGTCGTCTACGGGCCCTCTGGAACCGTCGTGGGCCCTCATGATGCCGTTGTAGCGAGTCTTGGTGCCTGGTGGCTTCTGGAAAAGTCATGCGGGGCGCCCCACGAATGCGCGAGGGCGCCCAGAACTCCTTAGGACTCGAGGGCTTGGGCGTTTCGTTTGCGAAGTTCGACCAAACTCCATATTGAGGGTTGAGGGCTCGAGCATCTGAAGACATTACACATCGTACTTTCGGGAACTGGAACTCTATCTCTCTCTCTCTCTGTTCCGCTCTCTCTCTCTCTCTGTCTCTGTGCGTGCGGCCACTGCATAGGCGGGGCACTTCTCTCAGAGCAGCGACCAAACAATTTCAAGTTTAGATGACTTGCCGGCCGGACCAGTCGAATTGTGTTCGAGTTCGCCAATGTGTTGCGCCAGAACGCCTTTTTCCAATACCGAAGTTGTCTTCTCAGCAGCTTACCAGCGAGATGAGTGTGGGAGGGGAGATGGGAGATACGTGGGAGAACGGAGACGGGGAGGCAAAGTAGGAGGAAGACAAACAGGAGGGCAAGAAGGGAGATGAGGAGGGCGAGGAGAAGGGATGGAAGCAGGAGGAGAAGGAGGACGAGGAGAAGGGGGGCGAGGAAGAGGAACATGGGGGAGAGGAGGAGGCGGAGGCGGAGGCGGAGGCGGAGAAGATGACGGCGGAGGAGGAAGAGGGTGAGGAGGAGGAGGAAGAGGGTGAGGAGGAGGAGGGGATGGCATGAGAAACAAGGCGCAGTCATGGGCTAAAGAGCTCGGACCTCAAGAGGCTCCGAGAGCGACAGGCCGAGCACCGCGACGGCGGCTCGGGGACCTGGAGCCAAACTCTGCGCGCAGTCGCCCGTGGTGGGTGCCTCCGGAGGCGACGCGGGCGGCGGGCCCGCGGCTGCAGCCGCCTCGGCCGCGGCCATCGCAGAGCCCTCGGGCGCTCCCCCCCGCGCCCAGCGGCCTGCCCCCCTGGGAGCCGCTGCTCGCGGAGCAGCCGCGCGTCATCTCTCTCGGCCTGCCCGCCTGCGACCCGCGGGTGGAGGCGGGGCCCTCTTTTTCTCTCCTTTCCTCCCCCTGGTGCATTGGCGCCCTGCGGGGGCCTTGTTCGAACTGGACCCACCACTCGGGAGTCATCCCTTGAGGTGGGCGCGATGGTTTGCCCCCCCGCCCCCCCGCCCTGCGCGGTGCGGCAGGCCGCCCGCTGCTCGGAGGCGGCCCGCGGCGCCGCGCCGGGCCACCGCCGCCGCAGGCTGGGCCTCGGCGGCCTCCGCCCCCCGCGGCGCGGGCCGGCACGAGCTGCGCGTCGGACCCGGCGGCGGGCGCCTCTCCGCCAGTCGCACATCTCCTCCCACCTCCTCCCACCTCCTCCTCCTCCTCCTCCTCCTCATCATCATCACCCATCATCATCATCATCATCATCATCATCATCATCATCATCATCATCATCATCATCATCATCATCATCATCATCATCATCATCATCATCATCATCATCATCACATCATCATCATCATCATCCATCATCATCATCATCATCATCATCATCATCATCATCATCATCATCATCATCATCATCATCATCATCATCATCATCATCATCATCATCATCATCATCATCATCATCATCATCATCATCATCATCATCATCATCATCATCATCATCATCATCATCATCATCATCATCATCATCATCATCATCATCATCATTCTCCTCCTCCTCCTCCTCCTTCTCCTCCTCCCTTCTCCATCCTAACTTCTGCCCCGCTCTCCTATGCATATCCTGCGATTGCCACCTCTCCTCCTCCCAGGGGCTCGGCCGCCGCCGCCGCCTCCGCCAGCCGCACGCCGCCCTCAGAGCCTTCAGCTGGGGGGAGGGCACCCCCATCAGCTGGAAACACTGCGCCCTCGAAGCGTCGGGGGCTCGGCGTCGGGCTGCACGTCGGCGTCCACTGCAGCGCCTGCGAAAGGCACCAGAGGCGGCTCCGCCACGCCAGCGCAGCGCACTCCGCACACGGCGCCCCGCCCTGGCAGCATCCCTTCCCGGTGACCCGCACTCGGGACGAAGTCGGCCGCCTCCGCCCGCAGCCGCGCGGATGCGGCCATGCGGGTGCTCGGCTCCTCGACGTCACCCCGCGGCTCGTGGCGGGCCCCGTCGCCCGCTGCCTCGACGACCACGCCCTGCAGCAGCACCGCGCTGGGCACGAGCCTCCTCGGAGCTTCCCCGAGTCGGTGCCCGACGTGCGAGCCTCTCGCGGAGTCGGCGGTGCAGGAGCAGCGCCCTTATCAGGACCTCGAGCCGCGCTCTCGGCATCCGTGAGGTCGCTTTCGATGTCGAGGTTGGAGGAGGAGGAGGAGGAGGAGGAGGAGGAGGAGGAGGAGGAGGAGGAGGGCGGAGGGCGGAGGGGCGGAGGGCGGAGGGCGGAGGAGGAGGAGGAGGAGGAGGAGGAGGAGGAGGAGGAGGGAGGAGGGAGGAGGGAGAAGGGCGTAGGGCGGAGGGCGGGAGGGCGGAGGAGGAGGAGGAGGAGGAGGAGGAGGAGGAGGAGGAGGAGGAGGAGGAGGAGGAGGAGGAGGAGGAGGAGTTGTGGATTGGCGCGTGGAACGCACTGGATGGCAGGTGTGTGCCCGCCAGCCGAGCTCGCTCGCCTCGCGATCGCAGCGCCGAGTGGGCGACGCAAGACAACGGGATTGTCTGTGCCGACATTGGCGCGTCAGCTGCCCGCGTAAGGTCGCGCGAAAGCGCCCTCGCTTCCAGCGCAGCGTGCTGCGCCGGCGGCCCGCGTGCCCCGGAGGGTCGCCGCATCATCTCGCGTACGTCCCCTTTCCTTTTCGTCGCCCAAGTCGTTGGCAGATTTTCTCGCCCGGGCCTTGCCTCTGCCTTCCTTTGCAGGCTCGCGCTCGGGCCAGGGGCCCCCGCAGGTCTCGCGTGGCCATCCACCCTCGAGAAGGGACTCGAGCAGCGCAGCCGATCGCCACTTGCTGCTCCGGGCGGGAGCCATCACCCTACCGGGCTTGAGCACTTGGGGCCTGCCGCAGGTTGTTGTGTGGAGCCAAGACCGTTATGGAGGAGGAGGAGGAGGAGGAGGAGGAGGAGGAGGAGGAGCAGGATGCCGCGGCGACAGCAGGAGCGCAGCTGGAGCAGGAGTAAGGGGAGAGTTGGGGCAGGTACAGGAGTGGCAAGGGAGAGCGAAGAGGGCCAGTCGAGACAACGGCCGCCCTTCTTTTGGCGTTTTAAGCCCTTGTGGGCCTCCTGGAGGCTTCTCGTCGCCACCGCTGGATCCGCCACCGCTGGATCCGCCTCGAAGCAGGACGAGGATGAAGAGAAGGAATCAGGGCAGGGGTATGTGGAGCGGGAGTGGAGAAGAGGGTGAGGAACTGCATATGGGGTTGAGAGGAGACCGTTAAGGATGAGACAGATGACGAGGACAAAGACGAAGACGTGGACAAGGTCGATGAGGATGAGAAGGAGGAGGAAGAGGAGGAGGGGGCTGAGCAGTCGATGAACACATACGAGTGCGACGACGAGGACGAGGACGAACAGGAGGACGATGATGAGGAGGGGGATGAACAAGTACATGTGTAGAACATGTGTAGAGCGGAGATAGGAAGGGTGAGAAATTGTAATATGATAGGCAGGATCACGTATTCATAGCATGTGTTTTCTATTTCGCAGCCTCGTCTTCCTCTCCTCCCATTTGTCGATTATGTCACTTCGTAGTGAATCATGTGGTCAAGCTGCTAGGTCTCTTCTTCGGCGAGCCTAGCGCCGCCGTCCGCCGCCACCGCCTCATGGCGGCATCGTCGTCTCGGGGGGAGATGGCGGCGGCGGACTTCCAGGCGTGGTGCTCCTGGGAGCCCCCGCGAACAGTGTTGAAGTTCCAGGAGGTTCGCCAGGCGGAAGCGGCCTGCCAGGCTAGGCGATTGGCGCAGCAGGAACCTCCATGTTTTCTGCATGGCGGCGCCAGGTTGAGGGCCAGGACATGGGACGCACGGGTCATCGGCCCGTGCGGCCTGCCAGTGGCTCCGCTGTCTGCCGGGCTGCTGCCTCGAGGGCCCCGCGCTCGGCTCAGGGTAAGCAACGCAGGAGCTGACACGGGACTCTCTTCCTGGAGTGCCACACCGCGGGCTGCAGCGCACGGGTGCCGTGGCCAATCCAGTCGGGGGGCCCCCGCGGCGCAGGCGGGGCACCTGCGCCTCTCCGCAAAGCAGCAGGCGCGGCTCCAAGCTGGCCAGGTGCCGTGGCCCCAGGAGCCGACGCCTGCATCTCGAGACGCGGGCACGATGCCGTCGAGCTCTGGGGCCTCTCGGGCCGCCGGGCGCAGACGGACCTGGGACGCGTCACCCTGCTCGCCAGGCCAGGCCTGCCATGCAAGCAGCGGCGGCGGCAGATCTTCCCGCCCAGGAGACCCAGCTAGCACGCTCCTCAGGGTCGCTTTGGTGGCGGCCACAATGTTGAGGCTTCGTTCGAGGGAAGCCTCTGCAGGCAAGTAGTTGAGGTAGTTTGGAATCTTAGGGTCGCTTTGGTGGCGGCCACAATCTTGAGCCAGAGTGGATGTCTCCAGTGTGATCGTTTTGGTGCCGTGCAGTTTCCCTTCGGGTATCTTCAGTGAGACCCAGCTAGCACGCCGGCGGCGGAGAAGATCGATGAACTCGATGAAGGCTGCAGCGCCAGAGGGACGCGAGTCAGTCCTTGGCTGATTGAGCCGAGCACGCCTTGTCGAGCGGTGGCAGTCACAAGCCGTCAAAGAAGCAACGAGGCGATCGAGTGGATGCCGTCCCAGAATCAAACTTTGCTGCCGCCCCACGCGTCAATCCAGGCTGTCGGACAGCGGGCCTCGCGCGCGAAGCTTTTGGAACCTCTGCCTCCATCTGAAGAGAGGTAGTCTAGCCTGGGCAGCAGCCCCACGCGATGAGGAGGAGCCCCGCGCCAGGTTCCATGGGCGCCGCGACGAGGCCCAGCAGCTGCGATCGCTGCGGCAAGGCGCCACCCCGACTCGCTGACTCACGACGAACGCTTGGCCGAGAGGGGCTGGATAGAACGGCGCGATGCGCGCGTCTACAAGTAATTACATGCAGCGCCCAATCTTCGATTGCACCGTCGACATGCGGTCGACCGCGGCTGGTCGCGGGAGGCGACGCGTCGGGTCTTGGCGCTGGAGTTCCGCGACGACGCTCGGCAAGAGAGCTGCTCGGGGGACCTGTCGCTGCAGCGCGGCCCCCGCGAGCTCCGAGATCAGCGCGACGACCCCCGTCGTCGAGAACGTCGAGAAGTCGCTGCGGAGACAACGCTTACAGCGCCGCTGGCCA